TTGTCTCCTTAGACAGATTTTCTTCTACTTCCAAGTGATAGATACATAAGTACATAGATACATAGATAGATAATTTTATCTAGCTATATAAAATCTAGGAACCGTAAATGAGGGAAGGCATGAAATATTTGTCTTTCTGCTATCTGATTAGTTGAGTTGGTGTTTTGAAACATCATCCTTGAAAGCCAAGCTAAAATGTTTGGTCTTTATCAAAATGTAATTAGAATTATTAAACTATGCAAAGGGTAGGGCAGAATTAACTTTAAAATGATCAGTCCTTTGCCCAGTGAGGAGGCTAGACTAGGGAAAGAGACATTAGAAACCGTGAGTTTAGAAACGTCAGTGCTATGTGAACTGTTCTCCAGGGAGAATGATTAAAAGTCCAGGTGCATAGAAGGAACTGAAGGGGAGACTGGCCTGTTGGAAGGAGAACAAAAGGTGTGAAGCTAAATGTGGGCTTCTGCCCTGGGCTCCTCTGGAGATGTAAATCCCAAGGTCTTCAGCAGCAGCAGACTTCAGCTTCTGGAGTGACAGAAGAATGCTCAGGGATTACTGGTACTCTTGTTTAAGTCATCTCCATCTATGTAGTGACAGACTGGCTGTTCCCCAAATAGCTGTCTTGCATGAAAACAGAAAGCAAAGCAGAACAGATAATCAGTGATTATTCTCTTCCACCACGGAGAACCCCACAAAACCAGCCCTTGAGCTTCTAGAACACCATGTCCCTTTTCATTCTGAGAGATAATTGCAGTGCCGTCATGACCAAAGCAAAAAGTCCATTTTTAACCACAGCCTCATGATCACTCCAGGCAGATGAAGAAGGCCAAATTCTCGGTGGCCCAATTCCTGGATCCCCAAGACTCAAAAAGTAAGGGCTTTGAAGCAAAGTATGGAAGCAATCCACAAGTTTGTACCTAGTATGTCTTTTGGAAGAGAGGGACCCAATTCTCAGGACCTCATCTGGTGACCAGTGGGGTCCTGTCTAAGAGGGTAACATGTAATCACCAGATCTTTGCTGGGTGTCCTGCATTAGTCAGATGCTGGGTGAGCCCCTTAAGAAAGAGGCTATGGGAACACACTGCCATGGTGCTCCTGTGGCCACAGGTAAGATCCAGTACAGCCTCAGCAGGTTGAAAAAGATCTGACAGAAGAGGAGGCGTGTTAGAAGAGAGCCACATAACAAGCAGAAAGGAAATCAGGTAGCCCGTGTTTACAAATGCTATGATTTGCCATCGGCAGTCTCAAGTGATTATTAGTCTAGTTACTCTAGTAATGACATTTCTTACTTTCGTTTATTATTTTTAATTTTTTAATTTTTTAAACTAATTACTTGGCTATTCATTTCTTTGCTAAAAGCTGTTATGCAGTCATTCTCGAACATATGCTTTTGTTTTCATTTGCATTTAGACCACAGATTTTGCAATTCTATCTGAAGTAATTGTTAGAACATAAACAGACTACACTTACCTGCTTGTGCCACTAGGTGGTGCACACATCTATTAGTCAATTGTGGGATAATAGGGTTTATCTGCAAATGACAATTAATTCATCACCACAGAGCAGATATAGACAGTAGACACTACAGGGGTCGGGGAGAGGTGGAGAGGGGTAGCACTGTCAGAGAAGACAGACTTTTTTGCTAACTAAAGAATGGTGAGGGAAAAACCATAAGAGTTAGAAATCTGGAAGATATGGCAGAGGAAAAACCTTGGAGAGGGAAGAACAGGCTTAGTCTCCATCATAATGGATTCCTACTAAACAGGTCATTGCCGAGGGGATGACATAATAGTTGTCATTTGAACTAGATATGATCAAACAGTCCTTCCAGGCTTTTGTTCTAGGCACTGGAGACCCAGAGATGAAATGGCATGCCCTGTCATTGAGTGAAGACCTAAAACAATAGATAGACACGGAAATAACAGTTAAACCAACGTGGTACAGGACATCAGTTCTGCAAGGTGCATTGAGGAACAAAGCAGGAAGTACTTATTCTGCCAAAGAAAATGGAGGAGGGGGCTAGGCTCGGGAATTGGTGAACAGAAAGAGACTTCATGGGGGAATTGAGAAGGTCTAACAGCACTGATGGAAAGAACAGCATAAATACAGGAGTGAGGGTTTGAAGGATGCTGTGGATTTGGGGATTAGTTCTTGGAGTTCAGCAAGTGCTCAGCAACTGCTCCCTGAGTGCTCCTCTGCAGAGTAGAGTGAGGTAACAAAGATGAATGGTAGTTCTGACCCCGTAAGATGTCTATTGGGGAGGATTCACAGAGGTGCAAAAGATTACAGTGACAGTACAGCATTAAAATAAGGTTCTTCTGAATTCTGACTCTGTGCATGAGCCTCAGTGTTCTGAGCCCAGGGATTCTGAGAGAATTCTACGCGAGCAAAGGGGAGTCCACAGTCCAGCACCTAGTTGTGTTTGGCTTTAAGTCTCTCTTGGTCTTTTTAAAGTTCTGAAATTCGTAGACAGAAACAATTAGTTATGGAAAACCACACACAGGAGCCAGGACACATACCCAGGTGTGTCTGACTCTTGCCAGATTTTTCTTCTCAGTCTTCTCTACTGGATCCCAAGCACAGAGTCACCATTTAGCAATAGTTCTTAAGAAGGAATTAGAAACTTTTTGGATAAATGGGATTTTTTTTTTCCTAATTGTGACCATCATGAAAACAAACTTGAAGAACGGGACTACTGGCTCCTTCTCTCCTACATGAGCAGAGTGCCAAGCTGTGCAGGTTGGCTTGGGCAAAGGCAGTCTGAGCCAGTCTCCCCTCTGTTAGGCTCCACATTAGGGGAAGAAGGCCATCTGGCTGCAGTGCTCCCCCTCACTGGCATGTGTGAGTGTGTATTTCATTTCAGCGTGAGAACTCATGCTCGCTACATAGATCAGTGACATCTTGGAGTTGCATTGTTTGCTTGAAGTCAACTGGAATGAGTTATGAGCTGGCAGAAAAACGGGGATGTGTTACTGAGAAGGCCTCAAAGGGATACAGACTTGCTTGTAGATCCATGAGAAGTCAGAGTCAACCAGTAGAGAAATCTTCAAGCGATTTTTGTTGTAGCAGATGAAAGTTGAATGGCTGAGGAGATCACCCAGAGGACAAGGAAATTTGAGAACAGGTCCCCATGTGGGGGCAGGGTTGGGGGGACAGTAGAATTGAGAACATTTAGCCTGGAGAAACAGACACAGCTGTTACCATGGGCAGAGGTAACAGGAATCAGTGATGCTACTGTTATGGCCCTTCACTCTGTTCAAAGGAGAGCTGAAGGAACAGTAACAAGTAGGGAATTCCTTGTCAAGGAAAGAGATAGAACAGAAATAGTTCAGACAGCTGGGTGCAGGAAGGGGACGTAGTCTGTGGGGCTGACAGGTCAAATGCAATGATTCTAAGCTCCCAGTATCATTGATTCTATGCAAAGGGGAGAGGCAGCTTTATGACCAAGGGTTAGAAATCCTATAATAAAAGTTCCCCCACCAAACTAAATAGATTGTCTCACTGATAACTTATGAGTTATGATCACCATAATTTAGACTCTAGAGATAGGATTGGACCTGGTATGATCCTGCCATTCAGTGAAGGTGTGGTTTTGAGCAAATGCTTTCCTCTCTTTAAATGTAATCACCCTTCCCCTGGACAGCACTAACCTAGTAGGATTGTTGTGAGTCTGAAATGATATTTCCAAGCTCCTAGTACTTACTGTGCCTTGCCTTTACTCTGCACTGGTCAAAAGAACATTGCTGCCTTCCCTTCTGCTTAAGCTAAATTTCAGGAAGCCATTCTTGGACAGTAGCAAGATAAAGAGGGTGGGATATAATCAGACAAGGGGTCATTAGAGGAAATGCCAGGGATGAGAAGCTCCTGCAACACTAAGCCTAAAAACAAAGTTTGTGCCAGGTGGCGGTGGCGCATGCCTTTAATCCCAGCACTCAGGAGGCAGAGGCAGGTAGATCTCTGGGAGTTCAAGGCCAGCTTGGTCTATAAAGAGAGTTCCAGGACAGCCAGGGCTGTCAGGGCTTTTACACAGAGAAACCCTGTCTTGAAAAAAAAAAGTTTATGCGACCCTTTAAAGAAGATAGAACAATCTATCTTCAGTATTTCTCTTAGAAAAGAGAAAGGCTCAACAGGAAGACTGGGTCTTACAGACTCCTGATTTCAGCCTTCAAGGGAAGCTGTTATCATGGTCCCCTTGAGCTTCACAGATCCATTTCTCTGCTCTCATAGCATCCAGCCCAGCACACAGCTTCCCAGGAGCTGGGGAGCTATACCAGATGACAAGCCTTCTGGAATGTTGATCATCCCAGGCAGTGTAAGCACAGCCTGTTTCCTCCAAACACAAGGGCCCTCATCCATATAATGTAGTGTACTTGACAACCAGATTTCTGATTGGATATACATGAGCAAAGGGGTGAGGATTACACTGGAGAAGGAATGCTCAGATCATTGGCAACTGACTTTGTTGGGATGTTGTAAATGTTCTCAAGAATTGAACCAGCATCAAGTACCTGGGGGGACAAGTTACTCAGGGCAAAAAGGGGGTGCTAATATATGAGTTAATAAACTGGTGCAAACACTTCAAGCAAAGAGAAAACTAAGGGTGCGGGGTCCAGAGGAATGTGCCTGGCTGAGAGATTGGAATGGGGCTTTTTTTCTGTGTCCTTAGGTAAGCCACATTCTCCCCAGGCCTTTTTTCCCTTTCTTTCTTTTTTTCTTTCTTTCTTTCTTTCTTCCTTCCTTCCTTCCTTCCTTCCTTCCTTTTTTTCTTTCTTTGTTTTTTATTTGTTTGTTTTGTCTTGTTTTTACAATGTAGGGGTATCTAGATAAAGGCTATCCATTCTGCCTTGTCTGTAGGGTGGAAGAACCCTCAGCACAACCATGTTCCATAAACTGTACACTGCTCTGTTTATCCAGACCTCATCTTGCATTTCTCTGCTGCCCTGCTAGGCACAGGTTTGGCTGTGGTTCGAATCACTGCCCTCACTTTATGTTTTCTTTTACAGCAACAGCGGCAGCTTGACCTCCTGACAATAACCAGCCCTGGTGAGTAAGTGCAGAGCGCCATTCCTCTTGGAATTTACCCAGAATCATGCATTGCAGCCTCTCCAAATGCAAGCCCTGCCCTCTTCTCACTTCCTGAATGCAAATTGTAATTCTTGCGTGTTAATGACCTTCCTCCTCCAGTCCCAGGGGCACTCTCCTTTCTCTCTCCCAGCTCTGTGCTGCCTCCTGTTGACTGAAGGTGACAGGCAGGGCTGCAGCTGTGGGTGGCAAGTGCATATTCTGGGAGCGAAGTTCTTTACCAAATCACTCTTCGGACTCACATATCAAGAAATTGTTCTGGTCTCCTAGAAATATTTTTAAACTTATGGGAAATGAAGAAGCTGCCTGCAAGGTGCTGTGAAATGACGGGGCGGGGCACTGATGAGCAAGGGCCAATCTGTGAGGTGATGGGGTTTGGTCAGTGCTGGTCTGAGGGTAAAAGTGGCATTTGTTTCTCTCCACTAAGGGAGACTCAAGTCTCAAAACAAACCTGTGGCCGTGAGACCAAAAGATCTTTTTTTTCCCTGAGGTTTGGTCTCAAGACTGAACACTTTAGTGATGTTGGGGAGCCATCTTACTTTGGTTTGGAAAATCAAGGCTAAACTGAGCTCAAGAAACAATTTTCTTTTTCATGAGCATTTGTGAGTGGGTGTGGTGGTTCATCTTCACCCATTGTTAATATTCCAAATATTTAAGAGCCCTGGTGAGCAGCTCCTGTGCCAAGTTTTGGTTACTGGACTGTGAAGGAATGGGTTCCTAGGGGAGGAGCTAGTGTGGCAGAGTGTTCATGTGTAAGAGGGCAGCTCAGGGAATCACTCTCAATAAATGTGGAGACATTCAATATTTTAGTAGCCAATATGGACAAACTGTGCTGGCCCGCCTTCAATCAGGCCTGCTATGCTTGGGACCAGGGAGCAAAAAACTTGAAAATTTACACCCTGTGGGCTGAATCCTAACACAAGGGTTAGTTATCTGGTATATGTACATGACAATGAGTATGAATGCATGTAACTTCAAGTTACATGCTTCCGTGTGATACAGCTCTTTGACCTTGTGGCATGAGAAGAATGAATGTCAGAATCATTGTTGTTGTTGTTGCTGAGACTGGGTCTCATATAGTTGACCGGCCTCAAATTTCTGTTTGGCTAAAAATGTCCTTGAACTCCTGATTAATCCTCATGATGCCACCTTCCTAATGCTGGTATTACAAGTGTGGCCATCTTGCCTGGCTGGAAATCATTGAAAACTGTTTACTATATCCTATAGAATAAGCTACATTCCAGACTTATAAGATTAACATTTTTAGAAATTCCATCACTGGAATGATAGAACTGGAGTCGCTCACTTGAGTTAGCTGTCACTTCTTCCTCACTCAGATAGGGCTGAGAGATTGTCTTTGTCTTATCCTATTTAGTGACACTCCTGTTGTAAGTGTGTTCTTCTCAAGTAAGTGTGCACTACCCAGATTGACTGTCTCCATGTCCCATCACATCTTGTCACATCCTGATGTGATGCCTACAGAGATATTGGAGAGTGTTCTAGACCTGTCTCCGGTTGTTTTAGAATGACATTTTTAGACTGGTAAACTGTATTTCTTTTGTACTAGCTTTGACTGCTCCTAATTGCTACTACACAGATTTAAACAGAGTTCTTGCACATCCCCAGTATGCTCCTTTTAGACAGCTGTGGGATTTGCAAGTGTCTCCGCACTGCCAGAGTTTGAGTGGTTTATAATTATCCCTCCTCCTAGATGAAAACAGAATATCTTCTAGGTCAGCGCTTCCCAAAAGACATGTGTGGCGTGCTGGTGTTCCGAAGTGGGCTCTGCTTCTACTCTGTGTGAGTTGCTGGTCTGCTGATCGCTCAGAGGCACAGGAAATGCTGTGGCAACCACAGATCTCCAGGGTGCAGTCTGGATTCCAGTGGGCCAAACAGATATTACACAAGTGTGCTTTGTCTTGGAAAGGTTGGTAAGCACCATTGATCATGGATTATAAGAAGAAGTCTATTCCATGTTGAAAACATTTGTAGTATCTGTCTCTGCCTATCAAATTCACTCGGATTCCTTGCATTGCCAGAAGCTTCAGCCACTAGCATTGGGCTTGCTACCTCTCTGAGGCTGACAGTGGGCATGCATTTCTCAGCACTTACCATCAAACCACTCAGAGCTCAGATCTGCAGTCTGGTGCTGCCATTCTGAGCAAACCAGGGGCCTTCTGAAACATGGATTTGGAATTTGGAAAGATTAACAATCTGTACTGTATGGCTTTTTCAAAACTTCATTCCTGTGTTATGAATAATTCCCAATATAAAGAAACAAATAGAGATATAATTCCCAATATAAAGAAACAAATAGAGATATAATCATACTGGCACTGTGTCATTTATGCCAGAGTTCATATTTTTAAAAAGAGATGCAATTGAATGTTTTCAGTATTTTTCCTTAATTCTCTCTCCCTCCTCCTATAAGTAACCACTATTATGTATTCAATATTTCTCAATATCTACGCAATGAAAAATAACTATTATGTTACCAGTACCTCTAAATATCACATTGGAAAACAGCCATATCCCATTATCTCTTCAATACATTATTACATTATACGGATACAATCATGTTGATACACAAGGTTCTGGTACACTCATTTTAATTGCTGTGTAATAGTCCACAACCATGGGATTGTAACCCTCCCCATTTCATTGGTCATAATTTAAAGTATTTATAGCTTTTTCCAACCACAAATAATGGTACTAAAGACAGTTGTGCATATCTCCTTGAGGCATATAACCCAAGAGAGGACTTACTAATTATGTGCATAAGTTTGCCACATAACAAGCTTCAGTACAGGAAATCTACACTTCCAACAGCAGAGTGTAAGAGCCTTCCTTTCTCTGACTCCTCAACACTCAGATGTGTCAGACATAAATTTTGCCAATCAGCATACCTGGCATTGTTATTATGTGTGTCCCTGATTGGTGGTAGGGTAGATTATCTTATTTGTATGCTCATTGCTATTTTGACTTCTATGGCTTGACTCTTTGTGTCCTATGTGTACAGACTACGGGGTCATCTCTATCTTACTGATTCAGAATTCACTATTCTGATTGTATCCCTTATATTCACTGCAAATATCGCAGAATGTGTCTTGCACTTTTTCAATGTTGATGTTGTCTGTGATATGTTTTCATATGTGGAAAGCTTTTGTAAGTTTAATTTTATCAGTCTCTTGCTTTAAGAGCTATGCTTTGTGACTTAAATCCTTTCCAACTGGCTGTAACATTTTCCTAGGCCAGGTGTGATGGTTTACACATTCTTGAGGCTGGGGCAGGAGGATTGCAGCAGATTTAGAGATAGTTTGGGATACAGATTGAGACCATCTCCAAAACAAATTTGTAACAAAACATTTACATATTCATAGCCTTTAATCCCAGCACTCAAAAGGCAGAGGCAGTTAAATCACTTCAAGGTGGAGGCCAGTTCCAGACCAGTCAAGGATACATAGTGATTCCCTGTCACAAATGAACAAACAAAAAGTGTGTGTGGGTGTGTGGGGGGGGTTGTGCCTCTAATGTTGGATACTTTCTTGTGTTCTATCTTAGCCTTTTAACTTTGTCTCATCAATAACTAATCTTTGTATATAATATCAGCCAGGTATTTCATTATTTTTTAATTTACATATGAATAACTCATTGTCACAGAGCCATATGACAACTAGCCCATCCTTTCCCAGTCTTGTGAAAATTATACTTTCATTACATTATTTTTTCTACATGCAGAATCTGTTTCTGTGCTTTGATCTATATGTCTTACTCTTTGCCAACTCCCCAATGTTTTCTTTAAATAAATTTCAATTTTAATATTATCTTTGTAATTGATTAGAAGATACCTTTCCTTTTTTCCCTTTTATCCTTACCTTTTGAAGGTTGTAATTATAGGTTTCAAACTGTACTTCTTAAACAAAATCTAATCATCTATATTGTGACAACACAATTTAATCCATTGGTGGGCCAAAGAAACATTTCATCTGGTAAAGGCACATAAGTCTGAAAACATGAGTTTGATCCCTGAAACTCATGCATCAGGCCTGTTTTTTATATCAACTTGACCCAAGTTAGAATCATCTGAGAGGAGGAACCCAAGTTGAGAAAAAGCCTCCAAAACACTGGGCTGTAGAAGAGCCTGCAGAGCATTTTCGTAACTAGTAATCAATGTAGGATGGTACCTTGTGTGGTGGTCCTGAGTGCTCTAAGAAAGCTGGTTGAGGAAGCCATAAGCAAGCATGCTAATAGGCAGCACCCCTCCATGGCTTCTTCATCAGCTCCTGCATCCAGGTTCCTGCCTGGTTCCAGTTCCTGCTTCAGCTTCCCTCAGTGGACTGTGTTTCAGGATGTACAAGCCAAATAAACCCTTTCATCCCCAACTTGCTTTTGGTGATGGTGTTTCATCACAGCAACAGCAACCCTGACTAATGCATTTTGTAAGAAAAAAGGACAGAACCCACACCACAAAGTTGTCCTCTGCTCTCCACACATGCACCATGACACATATGCTCACATGATAAATAAAAGTAATAATATATTTCTATGTATAATAATTCTAATATAACTGTCTTTCAGCCATTTTAGATTCCTCTATTGAGAATCCTTTATTTAGTTCTGTACCCTACTTTTTAATTGGAGTATTTGGTGTTTTGGTGACTAGATTCTTGAGTTCTTTGTATATTTTGGAAATCAGTCCTCTGTCACATGTGGGGTTATTGAATATCTTTTCTCATTCTGTGGGCTGCTGTTTTGTCTTGTTGACTGTGTGCTTTGCCTTACAGAAGCGTTTCTATTTCAGGAGGTCCCATTTATTGTCGATCTCAGTGTCTATGCTACTGGCATTATGTTCAGGAAGCGGTCTCCTGTACCAATTCGTTCAAGATTAGCTCCCACTTTCTCTTCTAAGAGGTTTAGTGTGGCCGGATTTATGTTGAGGTCTTTGATCCATTTGAACCTAA